GTTAATATAAAATAATTGACATCACCCCATGCATACTATCATACCACTGTGCAATGAAAATAGAAATCAATGATAGAAGAAATTTCAGAAAAGGCAAAAGCTCCTGAAAAAATTAACAACATACTCCTAAACAACTAATGGGCCAAAGAATAAATCAAATAAAAAAATTTTTTTATAAATTTATGGAAGTTAATGACAATGACTGTATAACTTACCAAACCTCTGGGGCAAAATGAAAGCAGTTCTCACAACATAGAGAAACTATTTGGTATTTACACATGTGTATCCTATTTATTTCACTTAAGAGTATAGTCTCGAAGTGCATCCATTTAGCTATAAATGTCTCTAATTTCTCATTCTTTATGGTTGAGGGTTGAGTAGTGCTCCATTTTGTTTTAAACACACACACACACACACACACACACACACACACACTCTTTATCCACTCTCCAATTGATAGGCAATTGGGTTATTTCCAAGTTCTAGCTATTACAAACTATGTGTGCAAATAAGAATCAAAAGATATACTAGATAAAGTGAAATAGGAAGACAAGGTACAAAGGAGAAGGGGAAGCGGTAGGGATAGGGGAAAGGAAAGATGGGAATGGAGTTAATATGAGAAAAGGAAAAATGGAAACAAGTCTTTGTAAATAGGGAGGATTGAAAGGGTTAAAGGAGAGCAGGGGAGTGGGAAAAATAAGAACCAAGATATGTAAAGGTACAAATTTCCAATGATGAATGTCATTATATTGTATAACTAAAATGTACCAATAAAACTAATTTTGAAAAGAAAGCAATTCCAAGAGGAAAACTCACTGCATTCAATGCTCACATTAGGAAAACAGAGCTACCCTCCAAAAACACCCTTAGGCAAAATCTTAACATACTTGAGAAAAAACAAATCAGTTCGAAACAAAAATTAAGTAAGTAAAATTATAAAAAGGGGAGAAGAAATCAATGAAATTGAGACTAAAAAAAAGTAAAATCTAAAAGTATCAAAGAGCTCATTCTTTGAAAGAATATAAATAAAACAAATAAGACCTTAGCCAGACTTACCAAGAGAAAGACTTACATCAAAGAAATTAGAAATGAAAAAGATGAAATCACAAGACACTGTAAAAATCCAGAAGATAGCATGTACTTTAAAAAATTATATTTCAAAATAGATGCATGGATCTGTTCAAAACAATAATTCATATATAATAAATAAATAAAAATAACAAAACTAATGCATAATGAGAGCAAAAATGATGGGGAAAATTTTAATTAACCCAAGAAGTAGAGGAGGTAGCATCTGAATAGGAGGAGAACAAAGCTTGAAGGAAATGTAATCATCACAATATTATACATAGTACATGGATCTGGTTATCTAATTTTTCCCTTCAGGATTCTTATGCGTATCAGGGAACAGAACAAAGAAAATGGCTGGCTTAATTGAGCATGGTCACAATTGGTAGGACAGGTGCTGCATATTGTCAAGGAATGAGATAACTGAGAAATATAATGAGAATGAAATGACTGAAGACAAATCCGAAGACTGAATCAGTGTTTCAGTAAGGACAGAGACAGAAAAGAAAAAGAAACAGAAGCATAAATCATACCTATTGAAAAAAATCAAATTAGAAGTGAATTCTATCTCAAAATAAAACAAACATATGCATGGATAATGACTAAAAATCACTCATAGAAATTAATTCTATCTCAGAAAATATGAATCCACTTTTACTTTCTCCCCTTACAAAGTATGCAGTCCAAATACAAATTCAAAACATATCATGACTCAAGGAGAAAGAACAGACACAAAAGAAGTTTTCATTTTTGAATTGTTACTTTTAAAAAAAGGCAGAAGGTATGATTAAATGTATTGTCCAGAATGTAAAATCAGTATAGCCTAAGGAAAATAGCCTCATAAAAATCACTATCTTTATACAATGAGGCAAAAAACAATATAAAAATATTATCTGAATACAGAACAAATTTATGTATATATGTAAATTAATGTACTACACACCTTCAAAATTATAAAAAATAGATTAAAGTGTTGTATCATTGTATTTGTAGACTAGAAAATGAACATAAATACTAATATTACTAATCTAAACAATTTATTTGGAATTAAATAACTTCATGAGTTTATGACTTAGTGGTTGTTTGATTAAAAGAAATATGACAAGCCATTGGGAACTCAAAGGTAAATACTGAAATCTCCCCTATAAAAATAATAGTTCTAAACACCAAAAGAAGTATAGCTGGTGCTACAGTTTATAATAAACATTGTGATGTTATTTATAGTTTATAAAAAAATTATATTTTGTATATTATCATTGAATTTCTATAGAAATCACAAGGGACATCCCAGTCATTTTAGTCCTCATTAGATCGAGAAATACAGGGAAAATCATTAATGTTCTGTGCTTTTTAGACACCTTTAGAGAAATATCAGGTCATTGGTCAGAACCTATAGCTGGAATATTTATAACTGTTCAAACAAATTAAAGTATATTTAGAATATATTAAATGCATGAAAATATGATATCTTTGTTCACTAATTATTTTATTTCAATAGAACCCAGTATTATCAGTATTATAAAAAATTGGTTAAATGAATTTGCAAAATATTGATGAAAGTGTACCTCACATACTTAATAAATTATGAACTGAGATTGTGTTAAATCAATCCAGCTTAGTATAGGCATATCAATTATCTCCAAATGTAATGAGTGGACAGACCCGCTCTTGAACTTACTAAATTTAATCAACATCTCCACCAAGAGCTTAACATTAAAAGTGAGTGAATTTAATTTAATACTTATGGCTATTTTTATAGCACTTCCTGTTACAAACACAGAAGTATATAAAAATTTTGGTTTGACCATTCTCATATGCACCAGAAAATAAAGTGAAAGCAGTATTTCTACAAACCAATATTCTTTTGTGACATGAATTACTATAGAATATTTTTAGATTCTAAACAATGACTATTTCTAAATTAGAAATATAGGAGGAAGGGAAGGGAAATAAAGACAGAAGGAAGAAAATAGGAAGTTAGTAACTAATAATACAGATTGATGATAAGATGCACAACAGGCTATTATTCTGGGTACAATTTCAGAAGGAAAAAGGACAAAGAGAAACATAAAATTTTATCAGTCACATAGCTAACTATTTGGCACCTACTTATATATTTTGTATAACAGAAATTTTCCATATGTTTAATCTTTATGATTTATATTGTCCCTTCAGTTTACAGACAAGGCAACTAGTACTCATAGAATATTCCAATCCAGATTAAAAAAAAAAACTAGTGAGAAGGCAAGATTAGTTTTGAGATCAAGTCCATTCACACAGAATTAGATTTCAGCTTCCTTTAAAGCACTACATGAACCACTGAAGATACAAAGATTCATATCTTTCCATATTCCCGATAAGGCATAACATATACAAAAACTGAAGATGTCATGTTGATCATTCACATGTAACTTGCGATTTTATTTACTTAAATGATACGTTGGGTCTTGATAAGGTTCTCACAGAACATCACAATGATGTTTGACAAATCTAACAGGCTACTTGGTTAAAGTCAGAGTTCAGCAGTTACCAGAGTTCCTTTTGTAACAGGCTTGTTATATGAAATTGCAGATTTCAGAGAACAGCAGGAGCAAAGTTAAGAGGATGCTTAACAGATACAGAAGACTGCTGGGCACAGTGGTGCACACCTGTAATCCCAGCACTCCAAGAGGCTGAGGAAGGAAGATTGCAAGACTGAGCTCAGCCAGCCTGATCAATTTAGTGATTTAAGAAGATTCTGTCTCAGAAAATAAAATTAAAATTAAAACAGAGCTCAGGATACAGTTCAGTACGAAGCCCTGGGTTCAGTCCCCTGTACCACATACACACAGAAAAATACAAATGACCATCAAAAACAATAAGGCTGAGATTGTTCTCTATTTATTTTCTTGATTAACAATTTTGGGTTTTGATTTTATTAGATGTATTAAATATTGATTATAATTTATTGAAAAGTTCTCAACCACCAAAAATTTAAGTCATTCAGAGTCATATCTCATCACAATTATCTTATGAAATTACACAAAAAATCACTGTGTCCACTAATATCTGTGATTATTGCTTTTATTTGTCAGTATAGCCAAACTGTGACACTCCATTATTTGGTCAACACCAATCTACCTGTTACTATGAAGGTGTTACTTAGATGTGATTAATATTTAAGTCCGTAGACTCTTAAAAACATTGGCAAAGATCATATATATTTAAAGTTGCATATTGTTTTTATTATTTTTTTCTTTTTATTGAGTTTATTGGTACAATCTAGGTATGCAGTACAGTTACATTCATTACTGGGATCCTGTACCTTCACATGACAGGTCTTGGTTCTCATTTTTTCCCCTTGTCCCTGCCCTCCCTTCACCCCTAAAGTTGCATATTGTGATGAGTTATATCATGTATATATTGTGATGGTATCACCAGCAAATTAATTAACATTCAGATTAATTTTTATAAAATTAATTTTCATAAAATAGTGAGTCTTACCCAATAAGCTGAAAGCCTTAAGAGATGAGAAAACCCTGAGGAAATATTAATTCTGCTTCCACAATCCCCTTGGACTAAAGACTACACCATCAACATTTTTCTGAGTATCCAGCCTGCACTGGAAAGTTCAGACAAGCCAGGCCACCCAACTGTGTAAGCCTAGCCAGTTCCTTAAAACAACTTTCTTTATCATCCCAATCTCCACTTCCATCTTTATCTCTGTCTCCTACTGGTTTTGTTTCTCTGAAGAATCCTAACTAGTACAAGATCCACACTTTCAAATCATATTTATGTATGCAAAAATAAGTTCCCTTAGTAACAGTTATCTAGGCTATTTCTATGCTCTAGGCACAAATACCCAGTAGACAGAAAATGATTAATACCTAAATACATGGATGAATTAATGTATAAGTGCATGTATAAATCAAATGAAAAGAATCAACCATTACCTTTAGCAGGACGAATGGAAAATGCAATCCCTTTTACTGAGTTTCCTGGTTGCCATCCAAACTGCGCAGACCGATTCTGATTATTATACAACCTAACTGTCCCCCAGAAGCATGTTTTCAACAAGAATCCTCGTGGTCTCAAAACTATCTCATCTGAAGATATCTCAAGTTTTACTGGCAGGACTTCTGCTATCACTAAGATGTGTCCACCAGGTACGCTGTTCACTGTAAAGGAGAAAGATCTGCAATACAACAAAATAATCCAAACTTAAGTGGTAATAGCACTTCATAGTTACAGAATTGTTACATATAAAATTGCATATACTATAGATTAATATACATATTTAATTAATAGTGTGCAATAATCTGAAGTGATTATGAAAGACAAGTAGAAGACTACTAAAATACAAACCTATGAATCTACAAATTGATGCACATATAGTGTCTATATTTTGGAATCAAATATAGTATACTCTACAATTATTTAATTACAATTATGATTCTAAAAGTACAGAAATTTGAAAATCTTACCTCCAAAATTTTCCAATGGTAGAACTTTCAAATATTATTGGAATATGAGTACTGGATATAGGTGGAATCACATATGAAAATATTTTAGTTTTCTGAAGTTCTTCAAAATTGATATCTAATTGAATCAATATATGCATAGATAGCATATTAATAAAATGCAGTAGCTGAATATTTGTCGAGTTCACACAAATATCACCAAAGTTAAGGACAGAGGGACCTTTATAAAAAAATGAAAAGTAAGTTATTGAGTTTAATGTTGGCAAATGTGTTCATTCATTTTGCATGTTTTCAAAATTTATTTCCATCAAGTTTAATACAAATGATATCAAAAATATTCACTATTAGCTACATTTTCATCTAATTACTATAACTTGGTATTTGGAAATTTTTGCCTAAAATTCAAAATGAATATATTCTAATTATATGAAAAATTGTAGGATAAAATAAGCATAATAAAACTCAGCACACTAATTTGTAACACTCCACCCATCTTTCTACTTCCAATAAAATTATTTTATTAACTTATTTGTAACTTACAAAAATGGGGAATTTGCCCACTAATCATGACCTAAAATTTCCCTTTAAGTACTAAAGAGATTTCAACATGATTAAGTAGAGAAGGAGCTACACTGGAGAAGCTCAGATAAGAGACACAGGATAATGTATTCTGAAATAGGGGAAGGCAAATACACCCAGAAATGGAAAGTTAAAGATGAAAGATGAATTTTCTAGATTGAACCAAATATCTGAGTTGTTAAAAAAGAGAAGCAGAGCCACTGCTGGTCAGCTGCCACCCCCCACTCCCACACACACACTCTTTTTTTTTTTTTTTTTTTTTTTTTTTTTTTAAAAAAAATTTGGTTTTGGTTTTTTGAGACAGGGTCTCACTATGTACTTGAGACTGACCTGGAACTCACTATGTAGCCCAGGCTGGTCTCGAACTCACAGTGATACTCCTGCCTCAGCCTCCCAAGTGCTGGGATTACAGGCATGCACCACCACACATACAATCTTTACCTAGGAAACACATCATCTTGGGATCAATTTTAACCTAAGAGAAGGAGACATCACTGTAAAAGCCAGTAGACTCCTTACATACTTTCCCTGATACTTGAAAGAGAAAAGGCAGGATGAGAATTAATTATAGCTAGGGATCCAGCAATCAGAAATGCTACCAGAGTATTTGGCAATACAAAGGCAATCTGGCCCCTCTCATCCTCCCAAATACCAGGGAATAATGTGTCCTTGTATCATCTTACTCATTGCTCAGCACCAACAAGGGAACCCAGAGAAAGCTGAACACCAAGAAATGTGGGAAGCACCACGCTTGCTGACAGGGAGCCACAAGTAGTATCACAGGAGACATGAGAGAGAGAGGAAAAGAGTCAATGGAATCAGACCAGAACGAGTGCTTTCCGATCATTTCTTCAATCATCAGAAATATCCAACACAGTGCGAAATCCTGCCCACTGCCTACTATCCCTCAAGGGCAAAGAAGGCACTCCGCTGAGGCTGAGCACTATGCTAAATTCGACTGGTTGGAAAATGGAGCTCTTGAGACAAGAGACCAGGGATGATTAAAGATCTAAGGATGAAAGAATAGAGGGTCATCTGGGGAAAAGGGCTTCTGGTGATATACTGGGCAGAAGACCTGGCCTAATTACTTTCTCATCACTGAGACACAATAGCTGACATCCACAATTCAAAGGAGGAAAGATTTATTTTGGTTTAAGGTTTACAGAAGTTTCAGCACATAGCTCCAAGGCAGGGAGGCGTGGGAGAGAACTGCTTATGGCACACCAGCAAGTGGGGAGGGGAAGGGGAGGGGGGGAGGGGGGAGAGATGGGGAAAGAGAGAGATCAAAGAGGTGCAGGGAAGGGAGATAGGTCCTTCTATGCCCACAGTGACACTCCTGTTCAAACAGACCACCCCCCAAACAGCAAGATGTCCCATAATCCAGTCACCTCCCAAAAGACACACCTAAGAGTTCATGAGGCTTTAACTGCACATTAGAATGACAGAAACCAAAATAAGAACCCTGGAGAGAGAACATGGACTTGACCACCCTGCCCTGCAGGG